GTACAGATCTTTCCAGAGAGGTTAAGTCACACTGTCTGTCACCTGCATTTACTTCCTACAGGGCCTTGGAAGGAAGGCTCTCAAAAATTCTGAGCCCTTGTCAGAGGAGTGAGCGACCGTTCATTTTAGCTTTCCCTCTGCCAAGCCACAGAGAACAACTCAGAAGGAGAAGTCTGAAGTGGGAGGTAGGATGGGAACCATGTTCACCTCAAGCAGCCAGAGGTATGGTGGCTGGCCATCCAGGATGTCCTGAAATCTAGGGAGTGAGGCAGATATAGGCCTCAGGACCCTGAGGAGGGTACAGGTAAACTATCAAGAGATTTAATGTCACAGAGGTTTTTTTTGTTTGTTTGTTTGGGTTTTTGTTTTGTTTTGTTGACACAGGGTCTCATGTATCCCAGGCTGGCCTCAAAATTAACTATGTAGCCAAGGATGACCCTGAACTTCTGGGTCCTCCACTTTCTGTCTACAGGAATCGCAGGTGTGCGCCACCACACTGATTTACACGCTGACAGGGATCGAACCCTGGGCTTCGTGCATGCTAAGCAAATGCTCTACCACCTGAGCCACATCAGCTGAGCCGCATCCCCAGCCCAAGGATCAGTTTTGTGGTAAGGATAGAGAAAGCATCATCCCCTGTCTTGAGGAGGGGCGTCCTTGCTGAGTTCCAGGCTGGGGTCTGGCAGTGGCTAGGCTCAGAAGTCCTTGTACATTCCAGAGTCTGTAGGCCCCCAAGTTTGATCTGTTGGGTGGATTTTTTTTTCCCCCAGTGAAGAGGAGAGCTGTAGGGTTGGGAGCTTGAGGGTCCTGGAAGATGGTGGCCGTGTCCTTACACTGCTGTGGGAAGTGGGAGGGTCAGGATTTCTGGGGTTCCGCCCTGTGCCTGTCCCCCAGGTAGGCGGGACCTTAACGGGGCAGGGCTAAGGTCTTGGTGAACAGCCTTGGATGTGGCCAGCAGAGTAGGGAAGCCCAGCAGCACTCCTACCCCAGCAAGGACAGAGGAGCAAGCCTCGGCCCCATGTCCGTCATCATCGGCAGAGGAAGAGTCAGCATGGATGCAGGGGACAGAACAGTCAAAGGTCTGTAGGCTAAGAGGTGGGACGTGGGACGCTGTGGAAATGAGCCGCTGTAAAAGCCCTGCGGTGGGGGGAGGGGTATCTGGGTCAGCCAATATTTGAGAGTGAAGAACTATGACTCCGTGCTTCTGGAACTTTCTGTAACGACAAACACAGCACTTTCCACACTTTGTGCCGTTGCCTCACTGAAACAACTTGTGGACCTGTCAAGGGTTGTGTGCACACGTTTGTGGCGTGCCCAGAAAGCATGCTCCCTCCTCCTAAGCTGATGTGACTACGCTCGGATCTATGAACGGTTGGAAGAGTCTAAAATCTTCTCATACCAGGTGTGGTGGTGACGCCTGTAATCCCAGCATTCGGGAGGCTGAGGCAGGAGGATCGTGAGTTTGAAGCCTGAACTACATGAGGAGACTCTGTCTCAGGAACCCAAAAATAAATAAGTAAAAATAAAAAATAATTACTAAGGCCTCCCTGCGCTCACAGAAATCCTGCCTCACCCACACTGGTCTTTCCCGGCCTGGGTGGAGTCCCTCCCTCATGGTGTCCGAATTCCCACATAGTCTCTTCCACCTCTGCTTTGAAGACCCTATGGTGCAAGCCGTCCTATCTAGAGGGGAAACTGAGGCTCGGATACGGTAATGTCCCCAAGGCCTTGCTCTCACAGGGGTGTCTAGACTCAGTGGGACCTCCAGCACACATGCCTGTGCCCACACCTTGTGTTGGGACAGCCTGGGCAGAGCCAGGGTCATGAGTTCTAAAGGAGAGAGAGGCTGTGAGCAGCATGGAGGAGTCTCCAGCAGGCACAGGGGCCACAGCAGGAGAGCCGGGACAAGGCAGGCGCCTGTGAGAACACAGCCCTGGGCCCTCCAAACCTGCTTGCCATGGCTGGGGACACCCTTCTGGGTCCCCCTACCAAGGAGACACTGGCCTCTCTGAGACATGAAGTCAGTGTCGTGATGGAAGGAAGCCACCCCACCACCCCTCAAGCTGGCCTCTCTGACATGTGACCCCGGAGCCAGTGAGAATAGCCGCTGACTGACTGGTCACTGGGACAGCCTGGCTACATGTAGCTCAGCCTCTCAAACCCAGTGCCACGGGACTGAATGTAAGGAGGAAAACTGGGCATCAGGAAGTTAGTCCCAAATACACAATGTAAACAAATGAATTAAAAACCAAGTGTGAGGGAACTTGAGGCGTCTCTGGAAGCACTCACCTGTGTCACATGTTGTGACTTCCCTGAACCATCTGTTCTGGTCACATACTGTGTGTCCTCTGCAACACGTGTGTTATCATGTCAATCACATGATATCAAAAAACAGTGCTGGAAATACCTGGGTTCAGAAGTCTCCTCCATGTTCTGAACTGGGGGTTTTTACTGTATAGGCAAAAACATATTTTTAAAGATCTGTGCATTATTTTTATGTGTATTGCATTTGCCTGCTTGAGTTGATATGTACCACATGTGTGCAGAAGCCCACAGAGACCAGAGTTTGCATCAGATTCCCAGGAAGTGGAGTTACGATGGTTGTGAGCAGCGCGATGTGGGTGCTGGGAATTGAACCTGGTCCTCTGCAAGAGCACTAAGAGCTCTTGAGCACTGAACCATCTCTCCAGCACCCAGAAGAGAATGTTTTAACTACGGCAAACAAAGATTTAAATGTTTTCCTACCATCATCCCTCAGCGCGCAAGCATCACGTTAGGCTATGTTTGGATGATATTGTGTTAGGGTGTTTGATTCTAAATCTGCTGTCTGAATTGTTGACTTGAGGGTCAGAGAGGCAGCTCTGTGGGCAAAGCATTTGCCCCCAGCCTGCTGACTGGGGTTTGAGCCCTGAAACCCACATAGAGGAGGAAGGAGAAAACCAACTCCACCAAGTAGTCCTCTGACTTCCACAGATACATCATGGCATGTGTGCCCATCCACATATCACACACACACACACACACAACAACAACAACAGCAACAATAATTAATAAAGTTTGAATTGCTAGCCTGTGTTTTACACACACACACACACACACACACACAGAGTCACTGAATGAATTCTGACATGGGAGTGAGAGGATTTCCCAACAACTTCTCAGTAGCCCTAAACACACTTTCCGATACTTGGTGCTGTGTAGTTATCGAAGTGACATTCCCTCACCATTGACAATTATAAAAGCAAAAGCACCCATCAGCTCTGAAAGCATTGAAGGCTTTCACCATCAGGTGCCGGCAAGATTTCATTCTTCCCAACCCAGCCACAAAACCTTCGACCTCCAATCTGCCCTGCGTACAAGATATGCTGGGGTAAAGGCAGTGCAGAAACTGTGGGTGGGGCCAACCAGTGACTGGCCCAGCTTGAGACAGACCCATACCATGGAAGGGAGCTCACCCCCGAGGGCCAGGACCCAGAGGCTGGACAGCCCAGAGACCTAGGAGAGAAACAAACACGACCGGAAAAAAAAAAAAAAAAGCCAATGAACTGATTCCTGACGATATTCTGCTGTACTCATAGATTGGTGCCTAGCCCAACTGTCATCAGAGAGACTCCACCCAGCAGCTGATGGAAACAGATGCAGACCCACAGCCAAACACTAGGTGGAGTTCATGGAATCCTGCAGAAAAAGGGGGGGGGGAGATTGTAGGAGGCAGAGGGGTCAAGGACATCACAAGAAACCCACAGACTCAACTAACCTGGGCTCATAGAAGCTCACAGAGACTGAACCGACAACCAGGGAGCCTGCACGGGACTGACGCAGGGCCTCTGAATATACGTGACAGTGTGTGGCTTGGTCTCTGTAGCAGGCTTTCTTTTGGACACGGAGACTTGTTATTAGTTATGAATGCTCGGCCTTGGCTTACGCTTGTCCCACTAGCTCTTATAACTTAAATTAACCTGTTTCTCTTCATCTATGTTTTGCCTCTGGGCTTTTTACCTTCCTTTCATTCTGTATGTCCTACTCCGTGTCTGTCTGTCTGGCAGCTGCCTGGCTGGCTAGCCCCGAGCATCCCTCTTTTTCTCCCTTGTTCTCTCCTTCTCTGCACTCAAGCCTAGATTCCTCCTCCTCCTCCTCATTCTTGATGCCTGCCAGCCAAGCCTATCCCTCTCCTGCCTTGCTATTGGCCATTCAGCTCTTTATTAGACCAATCAGACGCCTTAGGCAGGCAAGGTGAAACAGCAACACATCTTTACATAGTTAAACAGATGCAGCATAAACAAATGTAACACACATAAAGTAATATTCCACAACATAAACAAATATAACACATCTTTACATCGCTAAAGTAATACTCTATTCCACAACAGGTCTTCTTGTAGGGCTCCTAACAGTAGGAGCAGGGACTGTCTCTGACTCTGTTGCTTGCTTTTGGGACCCTTTCCTCCTACCAGATTCCTCATCCAGCCTTCGTATAAGAGGAGGTGCCTAGTCTCACTGCAACTTGATATACATGGCTGTCTGACATCCATGGAGGCCCGCCCTTTTCTGAAGAGAAACAGAGGAGGAGGAGTGGATAGGGGCAGAGGAGGTGAGGGCAGAGGAGGTGGGGGGAGGGACTGAGAGGAGAGGAGGGAGGGGAAACTTTGGTTGGGATATAGAAATAAAAACAAACAAAAAAACAAACAAAGATTCCATTTTTCCTGTAGAAACAAACAAGAACATCTGCCCCATTGGTATAAATTTCCTTTCTTCTTTAATAAATGGCAGTTATATGTTTGCCAAAGAATTTTTTAAAAATAAAATTCTATGGTGATATTTTATTTGTACTGAAATGTGATTTTATTTGTATGTTAATAAATAAAGTTGCCTGGGGGGTCAGAGCTAATAGTAAGCCATAGCAGAGCTGGGCATTCATGGTGCACGCCTTTAATCCCAGCACTTGGTAGGCAGAGCTAGGCAGATCTCTGTGTGGTCAAGGATACACCCAGCATGGGTCTCAAGAGTTTTCAAAGGTGTAAGCAGTAAAGACTTAGCATAAGCTTAATCTGTACCAACTGTCTTCATTCTATGGACTGGAGCTCAGAGAGGTTCAGGAATATGCCTGAAGCCACACAGCATCCCAACCCAGGCCTCCCTTCTTCCCTTTCTGCTATTGCTTATTCCCAAATGTGCTCCACGGGGAGCCCATTGGTGTCCTCAAGCGGTGGGAGTGCTGTTGGCAGAGAAACACTAGGGAAGCGTCTAGTGGCGCAGTTGTCCTCACGCTAAAATTTCTTGAAGGCCATCTTAGCCCATTCTGTGGGTCGCTGACTGCGAGACTTGGCAGACACAGTTATTTGATCCTTTTACCTTGAACCACTGCCTGAGGAGTGTACTAAGCTGCAAGAGAGCCACCTCTCCCGGCAGCGGCCAGAATCAGGAGATGGTCGGCACGGGTGGCTCAGACGTGCAGAAGCCCAGCCTCCTCCTAGCACCTGCCCTGCCCTCATAAACAGGTAACTTCTGTCCTCACATCTGCAGCCCTTCCAGGCACCACAGCCACACTGCAGGCAGGAGAGAAGAGAAAACAGAGAGTAAAGGTGACTGGAACCCCGACGTCTTGGCAGCTTCTAAGGAATACTTCTGCTATCTTCTCATTGGTCAAAAGTACGTCACATGGCTAGCTGCAGAGGCCCTTGGGAGAAATAGGCAAAGGCATATCATCACGGAATGGGAGGTTTCTGGATGAGGAAGCAGAGGGTACTGGGGAACGTAGACTTCCTTTCCTGACTCAGAAGGACTGGAGTGAGGCTCAGAGCTTGGAGATGACTCAGGGTTTAGAGCACTGGCTGCTCTTCTAGAGGACCAGGGATGCTGTAACTGGAGTATTCCTGTGGCCACTCACCTCCTGTAGCCGCTCAGGCCCAATTAAACACACAGAGACTTATATTACTTATAAACTGCATGGCCATGGCAGGCTTCTTGTCATCTGTTCTTATATCTTTTTTTTCTAAAGATTTATTTATTTATTCTGTATATAATGTTCTGCCTGTGTGTATGTCTGCAGGCCAGAAGAGGGCACCAGATCTCATTACAGATGGTTGTGAGCCACCATGTGATTACTGGGAATTGAACTCAGGACCCTTGGAAGAACAGCCAGTGCTCTTAACCGCTGAGACATCTCTCCAGCCCCTGTTCTTATATCTTAAATTAACCCATTTCTATTAATCTGTAAGTTGCCACGTAGCTCATGGCTTACCGGTATCTTAACATCTGCTTCTCATCGTGGCGGCTGGCAGCGTCTCTCTACCTTAGCCTTCTACTTCCCAGAATTCTCCTCTCTCTTTGTCCTACCTATACTTCCTGCCTGGCTACTGGCCAATCGGCATTTTATTTTCAATCAATCATAGCAACACATTTACAGCATAGAGAACATCCCACCGCAGGATGCCATCCCAGCAGCCACATGGGGTCTCACTGCCACCTGCAGTTCCAGTTCTAGGAGATCTGTTGCCCTCTTCTGGCCTCTACGGGCACTGCATGCACAAGGTGCACAGACATACAAGCAAAACACATAAAATAAAAATAAATGAAACTTAAACATATATATATATGTATGTATATATATACATATATATATACACTTTTCTACACACGCTATCTCCCTTTTATTACTATGCCCATTCAAATCCCCCTCACTCTTTAAGGACACAAAGGATCCCTCCTGAGTCGAGCTCCAGGTTCCCCCAGCCTCTTCCTACGCCCTCAGCTCCTCTGTAGTGTATATGCCCCTTACCGTGCTAAAGTGAGGACTTCAGATGACCAACTCCTTTGCTGTGTTGCCTACCTGTTGCTAGGAAGGTAAGGGCATAACTTGCATATACATGTTGCCACCAGGACAAGACTCAGCCCCAAACCCAATGAGCTGCCTGAGTGCAGGGCAAAGGCAGAATGGTGCAGAACGCCTCACGTGGTGATACCAACGCTGCCATTAGAACACAAAGGGGATTTTTAAGTAGCCCCTGGGAACTGAGGTGCAGGCAGGGTTGATGGTGGGATGGTCCGGTCTGAAAGGTCGTTGGCATGCCGGGCAGCCTGTCCCTTCCATCCCTTCCGCCTGGCTTGCTCCATTCAACTTCAAACCGAGACTCTTATGAAGGTGCAGACCTCAGTCCTGGAGCCCTACCCTCCTGATCTAACCTCTTCCTCCACCATCACACCAGAGGGAAGGATTTCAACACACAAAAGAGAGGGCACCAAACACTCACAGCATCTCCATCTGCTGCTTTCCCCATGCCAGATCTGGGTCTCCATCCAGGAGGAAAAGACAGATCATGTCTATGTCCACCCTCAGCCCAAACCCAGGACTGGGGACAGACTCTGCATGGCCCAGCGTAGGTCAGAAGCCACCTTGGTATAAATACTTGTGTGCCTCAGGGAGACAGGTTAGGGCCCAAGCAGAACAGTACAAAGGGCCAGTCACCACAGATACCTCAAGATGACTTGGCCACCTCCTCTCAGGGTGCTGTCTTGTATCAGGGAACAGCAGACATCACCATAGACTAAGGCTTCCACCTTTCTGTCTTCTTTTCGGTACCAGGGATGACCCCCGGGTCTTGTCTGTGCTAAGCAGATTTCCCAGCCCTGTCCCACGCCAGCCCAGCCAGCACTGTTGTGGACACAGGCTCATTAGAAGGTAGCTGGTCTCAGTAACCGATGTTTCGGCTGTGGCTGCTGACACACACACACAACCAAACGTGCAGGCTGGGAGAGTGCTTGCCTCGCAAGCATGAGGGCCGAAGTTCAGATCCCGTCACCCCCTGGGAGAAGCTGGACTCATGGCACACACCTTTAATCCCAGCCCTGTGAGGCAGGAGGCAGAGTCCCCAGAGATTGGCTGGCCAGCGAGCCTGGCCTCTTGGAGGACCACCGGGTCAGTGAGAGGACCTGTCTCAAACAAAAGATAGAGGGCACATAAAAGAGGAGGCTTGGGGTTGTCCTCTGACCCCGTCATGTGTACATGCTGACCCATGCATGCACACACACACACACACACACACACACACACACACACACACACACACACCAAGTCTGCAGAATTGTGGCAGGGACCACATAGCCTTTCCCTGGCCCTTTAGAGATGGAATTTGCCTGGTGCCCATTTTAGAGCTGGTGTCTTCCTGGGAGACGGGGGCATCCTGAGAGAAGGGCATGCCACTCGCTGTATGGAGCTGGGTGAGTGAGCCGGTGAATGAATGAATGAATGAATGAATGAATGAATGAATGGAGTGAAGCCATGCAGCTCCGGAAGACAGCCTGCTTGCTGTCAGTCTCGGGAAGTGGAGTGGCCGAGGCCCCAGGCCCATGCTCTCCCTCCCAGCACCCAGCCTGCATCTGATCTTAATGGAGCACCAGGGAACGAGCTTGATTGGGAAGAGCAGGTGCCAGGACGCAGTGAACATTAGGGAATAGTTAGTCACTTGGCAGGCTCCAGAGCCGCCAAACCCGGGAGTGTGGGGCTGGCCAGATGTTCACTCATTACCACCCGCTCTTCCTCAGAGACGTTTTAAGGCGACATTTGTTTGTTGAGGAAGCACAGCTGTTCCTGGGGAAATGGGTTTCCCTCCTTGGGGCAGAGGAGTGGGGGAAGGGCCCGGAGGAGAAGGGACCTAGGAACCCTGGGGTGGGTGACAGCCAAAGCCTGCCCAGTCAAGCACAGCTCCGTAGCATCCTAGGCCCCCCCGAGGGCTCAGAGGATGACTCAACCAGGGTCACTCCGATTTGAAGTGGCAGGACCCGGTCCCTGCCTGGCCCCTGGGTTCCCGGACCACAGTTCAGGCTCAATCCTATCCTCCCTCAACTCAGCCTGAGATGGCATCCTTTGTCTTAGCGTTTACATCTCTCAGCTTGTGCGGGTTTCTGCTGCCTGGTCTCATTTCTAGCAGTCTAGATCACTGTGTCCTGCCCACATCTCAGACTCTGAGGATTCTGCTAAGCCCTTCTTTGCCACCATGGGATGACGGTACCTGCCTCTGTGGGTGAACCTTCCTCTGACTCATTCCCTGTATCTCCTGTCCTTGGTTCCTTTGTGTCCAATTCTCCTTGGTCCATCAGTGAAAAAGTTTAATGTCTCAAGCTAGTTCTGGATGACTCCAAAGCTTTGGGGGAAATGTGACTCCTTTCCCCTAATATATTCTCTCTCTCTCTCTCTCTCTCTCTCTCTCTCTCTCTCTCTCTCTCTCTCTCTCTC